GGAGGGCGAGAGTGCGGGACAGCGGAAGAGCGGGAGAGCGGGAGAGCGGGAGAGCGGGAGAGCGGGAGACCGGGGGAGCGGGAGAGCGGGAGAGCGGAAGAGCGGGAGAGCGGGAGAGCGGGAGAACGGGAGAGCGGGCGAGCGGGAGGGCGGGAGAGCGGGAGAGCGGGAGAGCGAGAAAACGGCCACCCGTGCCCGGGTGCGGGTGACGGGAGACGGACCCCGCTCTCCCGCTCTCCCGCTCTCTTGCCCTCCCGCTCTCCCGCTCTCCCGCTCTCCCGCTCCCCCGCTCTTCCGCTCTCCCGCTCTCCCGCTCTCCCGCTCTCGCGACCTCCCGCTCTCCCGCTCTCCCGCTCTCCCGCTCTCCCGCTCTCCCGCTCTCCCGCTCTCCCGCTCCCGCTCCCCGCTCTCCCGCTCTCCCGCTCTCCCGCTCTCCCGCTCTCCCGCTCTCCCGCTCTCCCGCTCTCCCGCTCTCCCGCTCTCCCGCTCTCCCACTCTCCCGCTGTCCCGCTCTCCCGCCCTCCCGCTCTCCCGCTCTCCCGCTCTCCCGCTCCTTGACTCTCCCATTCTCCTGTTCTGCCGCTCAGGGCCCGAAGTGATGCGGAGGAGGAGGTGCAGATGGAGGAGTCTCAGGATGAGGAGGCGGAGAGGATGGAGGTAGGAGGAGGAGGAGATGTAGGAGGAAGGGCAAGGAGGAAGAGGTAGAGGAGGAGGATGAGGATGAGAGGAGGAGGAGGAGGAGGAGGAGGAGCAGGATGAGGAGATGAGGATGAGGAGAAGTAGGAGGAGCAGGAAGAGGAGGATGAGGAGGAGGACGAAGACGAGGACGATGAAGCAGAGGAGGCGGATGAGAATGATGAGAAGCAGGAGTCTGATGATCTGGAGAGGAGGAGGCGCAGGAGGAGTTGGAGGCATATGAAACGAAGGAGTCGGAGGATAATGAGGAAGAGGAGGAGGAGGAGTTGGTAGAGGAGGAGGTGCAGGAGGAGGAGGATGAGGAGGAGGAGGCGGATGAGGAGGGGGCGGAATAGGAGGGGGCGGATTAGGAATCAGGAGGAGGAGGAGGAGGAGCAGGGGTGAGGAGGAGGAGGAAAGCAGGTGGGGTGAGGATGAGGAGGAGGAGGAGGACCATCAGCAGAAGGAGGAGGGAATGGTATAGTAAGTTTTCATTGACTGTAATACTCCTCATCATCCTTCCCATCCTCTCCTTGCCTCATCCCCACTTCCATCCTTCTCTTCAAATCCTAGTTCAGCCTTCTACTTACGCTGCTGTCCTATGCTTATGATGATGATGACGCCGGTGTTGATGATGATGATGATGTGCCGATGGTGATGGTGGCGATGATGACGATTACAATTGTCCCGATGCCATGGGGATGATGATGGTGACGATGGCGATCGTGGCGATGAGAATGACGATGATGATGACGGTGACGATGGCGATGACGACGCTGACGATGACGACGGTGAAGATGGTGACGATACTGGTGCTGATGATGATGATGAAGATGATGATGATGACTGCGGTGGAATCTGGGCCCGGGCTACCACAGACTGCACTGCCCTCCCGTTCTCCCGCTCTCCCTGTTTCCTGCAGAGAGAGAGAGAGAGAGAGAGAGAGAGAGACACACCAGCGCCAGGAAGAGTCACGCGTGATCCCCAGATCAGGAGATGAGATCGAGAGCGAGGGGGGAAGAGCGAGAGCGAGGGAGGATGGGTGTAGGCGCTTAGGGCCATCATATAGCTAGCCTCCCCTGGCGCTCACCTTGCAGTGCCACTGATGTCATCATCGCCACCATCACCACCGCGAGGACCATCAACACGATAACCAGAACCCCCAGCAGCACCAAGACCACCACCATGATCGCGATCGACAGCATCACCTAGACTTCCAGCGTCACCATCACCGTCGCCATCGTCATCGTCATCGCCACTAGCACCAGCAGTCAAGATCATAGTCGTCACTGTCATCATCAACATCACCGCCAGCTGGGGCACCACATCTTCACAGGCATCATCTCCATCGAACTATTATCAAGATGGGGGCCATCACTACCACCACTATGACTATCACGATGATGCCACTACCTCCTGGCCACCAACACCACAACACCATCATGTGCAGTGGCATCAACATCGTCATCGTCATCCTCAGTTGCACCATCATCACTCCCACCTGGCACCACCATATATGTATCGCAACCAGCCCCTGGGACATCACCACGAACACCACCTAGTCAACCGCTAACACCAGTATCATCACGATGACCTCCACTAGTAGCTGGGCGTGCAGCATCGCACCAATACCGTCGCCATCACTACCAGCAACATCAATCCCGCCCACCACCTTAGCACTCTTTATCGTCATCATCGTCATCACCGCCATTTGGATCACCACCACTGGCAACAACTCAATTTGGCAGCATGACAAGTGGACCATCACAGCTACCACCATCAATACCATGCGCACATCATTACCACCTGGCCACGAAGTCGACAACTCTGACATAACCGCTTAGCATATGTAGTCATCATCGCCAGTACACCACCATCACTGCCACCTGGTCCGCCACCGCCACCATTTGCCAAGACACCCATCATCTGCACTGCAACCCGTCTCTGGGCCATCACCGCCAACGCCATCTGGCCAAACACTTCCGCCACCATCATCATCACGACTACCTGCAGTAGTAGCCGGGCAGACAAAACTGTAACATCGCCACTGTCACCATCGCAAGCATTACCACCCCACCCACCCCGATGATATTTTTGTCATCGTCATAACAACCACCGGGACCATAATCACTACCACCGGCCTCAACTCCACTGGAAGCAGCGTTTCCAACACCTCGGCCGTCACCATCGCCACCATACCTGGCCCAATACCCTCACCATCATAATAATCGCGTTTATGACAATCACGTCTACGACCTGGGCTACCAACACGTCAAACCCGCTGTGACGTTACAATCAATATCATGTGTGCCAGCATTACTACCGTCACCATAGTGATTGCGGTACGAGTTGAGATGATAATGGAAATGTTGATGAATGCGGCACGTGTCGTGCCTTCTCGTCTGCTACACTTCTCCGTTTCCTCCTGGTCTGCTATTTTGCTCCCCTGATCCTAATGGTCCTCTATCCTCCTCCTTATCATGGTCCTGAGCCTCATCCTTCCCCTGAGCCTGGCCGTTGTGAACCTTACTCATTCTCCTCCCTTCTCCCAACATTACTCTTGGCGTTTCTACTAATCCTATTCCGCCTTCCTTCTTCTCCTCCTGATCTTCGTCCTCGTCTTCGCCCACGTCGTACTCCGTCATCCTTCCCCCCTCCTCAATGAGATTCAACATGACCTTTGTACTCTCTCCGAGCCTCGCAACTTACCCGCCCGCCACCATCACCAACACCTCCCAGAGTGCCGTCATCACCACCATCAACATTATTCTCGTTATCTCGAATACCAGTTGGGCCGACTGCATTAGCTTTAATCCATCACCGACAACCACATCAACATCATCACCATCACCGACACCATCATCATCGCGACCACAAACTGGCCACAACCATCAGTATCGTCGCCACACCCAAGACCGTGATGAGCACCACCATCATGGCGATCATGACAATCCTCAGAAACACCAGGACTTCCACCATCGCGATCACCACCAGCACCTAGACCACCGTCGCCACCAGCATGAACAAGACCCGACTGCCCACCAGCTCCACAATACCATCATCAGAATTGGCATCGTCATCGTCGCTAGTAGCATCAGCAACAATGAACCCTGGTCGACCACTGCCACCATCTTCGCCACCACAATCATCATCATCATCATCATCATCTGCGCTGCGACAATACATGGGCCATCATTGCTACCGCCACGTGGCTAACAACGACCACCACCATCATCATCAGCACGATTGTATCCACCAGTAGCCAGGTAAACAATTCTGCAACACCACCGTCTTCATAGTTTCAAGCGCCGTCACTAAGCCCACCGCCATGATCATCCCACAACACGGTCATGCTCGTTATCGCCACCACCATCGTGACAAACACCTAGGGCGTCGCCACCACCGCCATCTCCATAGTGAACATCGCCCCCCGCCACCTGGACCGCCTCCACCGCCGTCATCGTTGCCACGGCCGCCTCGCATTAAACCAACGATTGCAAGCTGGACCGTCAATACCACAACGCTGCCATCGCCGTCACAAACACTATCATATGGACCACCACTGCCACCACCACCACGGTGACTGTGGAACTGGTTGCGCCGGCAATGAAGCCAGTGAAGGGTATTTTGATGCAGGTGATCAAAGTGGTGTTAGCTTGTAGTGGTGAAGACGGTGATGGCAGAGATGGAAATCCAGGTGGTGGCCATGGTGAAGACTGCGACGGTGTGTGTGTATATATATATAAATATGATTGGTCTCTGACCTGGATGGGCCCCCCGCAGTGTAGCTCACCGCCAGCAGCAGCATGCCTGTCTTTGTTGCCTTTAGCGGCTCAAGAAACCCCGGATGGTCGATCCGGGTCTCGCAGGAGCTGCTTACCAATTTCACGCTTCCTCCCTGCAGTTGTTTGTGCTGGCCCGCGGCCCGCCCGATTGCCCTGCGCGTGTGTGCGCTGTGGACGCCTGCGGCGCCGAGCCGCTCTCCCGCGACGCGGTCCTGCCCGTGCTGACGCGTTCGCTGGACGTCGTCCAGGACGCCTATCAGGAGTGCTCGAGGGCAAGAGCTCATCTTCGAGGTACCTGCGAACACTCGCAGGAGGAAGCTTGCTCGAAGTTCTCGCTGACGCTTCTGTTCATCTTGGGCTGTGTGGTGGGTTCGCTTCTCACCCTGCTGGGGTCGTGTGCAGTATCCCTTACCCGCCGCTCTGCGGCTTCGAGTCATCGCGAAGTGGTACGCCAGGCTCCTCTGGTCGACGCTCCCGCTGATCACCCAGCACCTCTCGCTCTCACACGCTCAGCGGCAATCTCGTCCGCTCTGAGGGCCCATGTCTAAGAGCCTGGACATCCCCGAGCGCCAGGTGCTTATCAGTTTCTGGGGCGACCCGAACGGACTGCGGTACCACGGACGGGTCTTGCTTTTCGCCACTCTCACTCTGGGAAAATGGATTGTTGGGACTCCCGACTTCGATGTTCAGCTAGCCGACGTGTCAGAGCATCGCGTCATCCCCCTCGGCCGCGACGAGGATCTGCCCAGGCGGCTCTTGGCCGAGACTTACTTCTTCGACGTGCCGATCGAGCCGGAGTCACTGGCTCGCACGCGTCGTGCAGGACGCGACCTTCTCGAGGTCTTCGGGCTGGTGGGCGCCGCCGGCGCTCTGCAACAGGGGGGCCGCTGGCGTGCCGGGGACCCCGCGCACGACGCCTTCGGCGACGAGATCCCCGAGGGTGTGATCGGCGACGGCGATCAGATGGCCATCCGCGAGAACACGGCGCTCGTTCGCATCGACGAGGAGTGGGTCGCTGCCGCCCTGGTCGAAGGGTCCGAGCCCTCCGAGTGGAAGCGCTTGAAGGCCACGGGGCCAGGGCGCGACCCGCGCCTCCTCGGCGACGAGCGCGCGGGCGGTCAGCCGCGCGTGAGTTTCCCGACCATCGCCAAGCTGTCAAGTCCAGTGAACCGCCCAGGGTGGCCTTTCCAGGGCAAGCCAGCGGCGACGGAGCTTCAGCGTGCCTTGATGACCGCCAACCGCGACTTCACCAGCCACCACCTCGACTGGCGGACCAAGTCGGGGGTGAACCAGCACGGGGTCGTCTGCCGCGTCCATCGGCGTCTCTGCGAGACGCTGTCGACCCTCTACTCGTACGACCAGGTCGACCCCGCGAACGTGGCGGGCGCCGAGTACCTCAGCCGTCGGCTGTTCGAGGTCGAGACGGCGGTCCGCCGCTGCCCGAAGGTGCCCGACTTCGCGAACCTGGAGGGCATCTTCGCGGCGCCCCTCGGCGAGGATGGACGCGCCTTGCTCCCCGAGTTCGGCAGCTTCGTGTCGGGCCTTCAGCGGGACGAGGCGCAGCGCCTCAAGCAGATGCGACTCTGGCGCGAGGAGACGGGCCACCAGGCGCAGGGCGGCGGAGGCGGCGGCAGCAGGGGCTCAGGCGAGGAGGCAGACCGCGGCCGGGGCCGCGGGCGCGGCGGAGGCCGTGGCCGCGGTGCCGAGGCCGCCCCCGACGGCGGCTAGCCCCCGCGGGGGCCGCGGCGGCGAGGTCCAGAGGGAGGGGGCCTGCTCGGCTCAACCCCCGACGACGTTTGCCTCGCCGCCGCCTTCGCCGAGCTCGGCGTGGGCGCCGAGCTGATCGAGGTGACTATCGTGCGCTTCGTGGCCGTGCTCACGGCGATCCTTTCCCCCTTCCGGTTCTCCGCCGATGGGGGTTCGCGCGCGGTTGCCGCGGTCGGCAGCCTTCGTGCGAGAGACGGTGCAGGGAGGCGCTTCGCTCCCTCAACGCACTCGATGCCCCGTCTCGGGCCTTGAGGGCCCACCCAGCTCCGACGGGGCGGCGCCCGACCGTGGCGCAGCGTTCCATCTCTCGCAGGACTTGGGCCAAGGTGTCGCGCCTCCCCTCTCGGCCAGCTTTGACGCCGAGCGACGCTTTCTACGGCCTCCTGAAGTCCACGGACATGTGCTCAGACCAGCCCCAGCACGTTCGACCCTACGACCCGTCGAAGCTTCGGGCCCTGAGGGGTTTGGTCACGCCGCGGCCGCTTCGTGACAGGCTGCCGCCGGCTGGCGCCCAGGCCCTCGACAACGCTGACAGCGTGACTTACCGCGCCGCCTCGGAGATCGACGCGCTGGCAGAGCAGGGGCTTATCACCCCAGTGCGGCCTTGCTGGGGCCCTCGCCTCCGCCATGACAGGGCGGCTCGCAGGGACTTCATCACGCGCCTGCACACCGTGGGAGTGGTAGGGTTCAGGTTTGGCATCCGCGCCCGGATCGGGGCCTTCTTTGTCGCCAAGAAGGACGGCATGCTGCGCCTAGTCCTCGGCGGTCGTGAAGCTCCGAGCCTACGCCGACGGCCCCCTCACTCTGCTCTCGGCTCTGCGGGGGCGCTGGCTGGCCTTGGCACCTCACCTTCGGCGCTGCGTCGAGCGGGCCTCTCGGACTCTGACGTCGACCCGCATGGCGCTGGCGTGGACCTGCGCGACGAGTTCTACCAGTTCGTCGACGACCTCGCGGACTGGTTCGGGTTCGACTTCCCAGAGCCCGCAGGCTATGTTGGTGACCCCGACGATTATTTCACGGACACTCGCACTTTCGGTCGGGTCTCTAGCGACACAAAGATTTTCCCAGTCTTCAGGGGCCTGCCGATGGGCTGGAGTTGGCCATTTGGTTTTGCCAACTTGTGACCGAGTCTGCGGAGACGGAGGCGGTCACTCGCCTTGCTGGGCCCCCGTGCCCGTGCGTGATCTCGGACAAGAGGCCCGCGCCCCCCTTTGCCACGGGACGGCCTCTGGTCTCGCCCTACGTGGACAAGGCCAACCTCTTCGGCGTCCTCGCGGAGGACGTTGGCACGGCCCCCGACGAGATCTGCGCGGAGTTGGACCGCGCGAACCTCGCCTACCACGAGAAGGTCGAGCCGACCCGTCTCTACGGGTCTGTCGGGGTGGTCTTCGATGGGCAGGCGCGGAAGCTCAGGCACACCGACAAGAGGGCCTGGAAGCTCTATTTGGGCCTCCAACACCTCATAGGCGTAGGCGGGGCCACAGGCTACGCGCTCCGCATCATCTACGGGCACCTCGTGAACTTCTTCATGCTGATGCGGCCCGCCTTGGCTGTGCTCGACCTGGGCGACCACTTCGTCGCGGAGCACCGCGAGAGGTTCGCCGAGTTCCAGCCCGACCTCTTGGGCGAGATCCGTGTCGCCAAGGGCCCGACCTTCCTGGTGGAGGTGGACCTTGGGGCGCCTTGGGCCCAGGTCACTTACTGCAGCGACGCCCGCACCTACGGCTACGCGTTGCACGAGGCCTGCCTGACGGACGACGAGCTGCTCGACACCTTCAGCGTACGGGAGCGCTGGCGCTTCCTGGACGTAGAGCCCGCCTTCCAGCCTGGCGCGGCCGACGGGCCGCCCTCCGCCATCGCCGCCGAGGCCACAGCTACCCTCGCGGCGGGGCTAGTGGGCGACCCTGCTTTCGACCTTGACGACGAGCATCGCGGGGGCGCCTGCCTGGACCGCCGGCCCGCGCGCACGGCCACGCTCGATCTCGACGGGATGGTGACTCCCGTGGCCGACGCCGTGGTCGACCGCCATCGTTGGGCTCTGTTCGTCCAAGGCGCCTGGAGGTACGCGGCCCCTATCCGCGTGAAGGAGGCGCGCATGCAGCTGCTTGGCTTGATCAGGGCCTCGCGGAGCACCCGGATGCACGGCCATCGCGTGGGCAGCATGGGTGACAACATGGCTGCCTTCCTCAGCTTCGAGAAGGGCCGCGCCCGTGACTTCGCCCTCAGACAGCTCTGTCGGGTCGCTGCCGCGAGGCAGATCTCCGCCGACATCCAGTGGCGGCAGCGGCACGTCGAGACGGACCGCAACCCTACCGACTACGACTCCAGAGCGGCCGACCGCGGGGAGGTGCAGCCCGGGCAGCCACAGTGGGGGCCGCCCGCCGCCCTATAGCCGCCATCGGGGCCAGCCTGGGGCCGCCGCCGCCAGCCGAGGGCTTGCGGGCTGCCCGGCCAGCCGCGGGCTCTGCCAGCGGCCCGACCGCGCACGGCGCCCAGCGGCGCCTCGCTCGCGCGGCAGGCCTGCATGCCCGCCGCGGCCGCCGCTGCCTGTCAGAGGTCGCGCCACGGCCGCTGCCGCCTCAATCGCTTGATATCCCGGAGGTTTCCAAAGGGGCAGCCTCAGAGACGGCGGAGGTCATCGCCGCGCCTGCTCCGAGGGAGGCAGAAGGCAAAAAGCTCTCGCTCGCAGCCTCTCGTCCGTGTGCTTCCCGTCGCCCCAAAGCTTTCTGCGAGATATTCGCGGGCTGCGCCCGACTCGCCGCCGCCCTCAGGGACTTGGGCCTCTCGGTGGCGACCCCGGTGGACCTGAAGAACGGCTCGCATTTCGACATCCCGGACTACAGGGTCTTTGCTGTCTTGGCGTCTTGGGTCCGATCTAGGAAGCTCTGGCGGGTGCACTTTGGGACTCCATGTATAGCGTGGAGTGAGGCTACTGGGGCTGCTCGTCCCCAACACCGCCGTCAAGGGCTCCAGCTAGCCCGTCGCACTTTGGACCTCATGGGGCTCTGCAGGGACTTCAACGCGCACTGGTCTCTCGAGAACCCCGCGTCCTCAAAGCTGTTCACGTGGGCTCCCTCAGCGTCGTTTATCTCCTCAGTCGATTCCGTCAAGATCCTCATTCGATATTGCCAATACGGTTGCGCATATAAGAAGCCTACAGTCGTTGTCTCAGTTCATCCTGGCTTATCTGTCATTGGACGTGTATGCTCTGGAGGCCATGCTCGTGAGAGCCTCGAGGGCAAAGTCTCCGTGGCCATCGATGGTTCAATCCGAAGTCGGTGGACGACCTCCCTGGCGGGGTCGTGCCCGCCAGCTTCTGTGCCGTGCCTGGGCCAAGGCGCTGGGTGCCGCTGCGCCTTCCTCGGCCTGGCGCCGGCACGCCGATCCACAGGTCTCCGACGGCTGGTCGGCTCACTTGGCGGCCGCTGTCGGGCGGCCCGCCTGCGAACTCGTCGGGCCGCGGCCGCGCTGCCCCAGGAGCTCGCCGCCCGAGTGGCCTCCCGAGGCCCCCCAGTGGGGCGCCCGCTGGGCTCAGGCACGAGCCAGTCGCAGGGGCCCGCAGGCGGCGGGACTTCGTCGAGCCGGCGGTCGTGGCGGCCAGGAGGCGCGCCCGCGCCGAGCAGCAGGGCCGCTACGTGGTGCGCGGCGCCATCCACTGCCTGCGCTACCCGCGACGGACCCCCGCCACGCTGCCGCTCAGCCGCCACGCGCTCGCCGGCTGGAGCCAGACGGGGCCAGAGCGGGTCCGCGACCCGCTGCCGTGGGAGGCCGCCGTCCTGATCGCGGATCACATGATCCAGCGCGGGCCCCTCGGCGAGGCGGCCGCGGGCGCGCTCGCCAACAGCTTCGACGGGTACCTCTGGTCATCCAGCGTGCTGAGGATCAATGGCTCCGACGTGCGCGTCGTCGGGGGCGGGGTGGCCAGGGGGCACCCTCGCGCGACGGTCACCATCGCCCCGCCCCGCGCCGACGACGGAGCCGAGCCCCGCCCGCGGCTCAAGACCAACGAGCACGACATCTTCGGAGACCTGGCGAGCTTCAGGGCAGGGCGGAGCTTCGTGGCCGACCTCCTCGTGAAACTGAAGGGCCAGCGCCTGCCGCGTCGCCAGCTCCCCCGCTGACGCTGGCCCAGTACGACAGGTACTTCAACGCCGCGGTCGCGGCCCTTCACCTGCACCGCCTTCACGTGCACGGGAGAAGGTGCCACGCGCTCTGCTTCAGTCCTTCCCAGGCAAGCTCGCGCAGTTGTATGCTTGCTTGCTTGGTTAGAATGTTTGGCCTCATTTCTTTTCGGCACCCTCCCTCTCCTCCCTTCAGTCCATCATATGGGATTTGGGGCGCGCCTTAGCGTGCACCTCTGCAGGCAGAGTTTCTTGTGATTGCGGATGTCATGTATCTTCTGCTCGTGCACGCTCGCAGAATCGACCTTGCCTCAGGTAAGCCTTGCGGAGTAGAAATGCGCGGCCTCTCTGTCAGTTCTGGTCAGCGGTGTCGTCTGCTTCGAATGCTCGGGCCATGATTTGTCTCTGACATGGATTGCCCCCCCCCCCCCCCCCCCGCAGTGTAGCTCACCGCCAGCAGCAGCGTGCCTGTCTCTGCTGCCTTTAGCGGCTCACCCGCCCGCGTCCTCCCGATTGGGTGTGCCATCAATCGGTGTTGTGCGCAGCGAGGCTCCAGTTTGAGTATCTTTAAGTGTGCACCTCTGCCGGCAGAGTTTCTTGTGATGGCTGATATCATGTATCTTCTGCTCGTGCACGCTCGCAGAATCGACCTTGCCTCAGGTAAGCCTTGCGGAGTAGAAATGCGCAGCCTCTCTGTCAGTTCTGGTGAGCGGTGTCGTCTGCCTCGAATGCTCGGGCCATGTATATATATATATATATATATATATATATATATATACATATACATATACACAGGTTTACAAACATATTTTCGCAGGTGACATCCGCAGGTGACGTTCGCTTGTTGTGAGGGCAGCGGTTTCTGCTCACTAAAACTCAGGAGGTGGTCGCCCGTGTCCTCCCTCCATCCTATTTTCCAGGTTCTCTTTGTCGCGCACGGACGTCTCCGGCAGCTGGGCCGACTTGCAGGTTAGTTCCACCTGCGGACATCATTGCCTCTGAAGACAGCCATTGGGCCGTTCCACATGCGCGGATGGCTTTCAGACTGCCCGACAGGCTGCCAAGAGCACCCGAAAGCGCCCCAAAGGCGCCCCAGAACCGATTAAGCTAACTTCCCAACGGCACCAGCGTTCTCCAGGACGCCCCGAAAAAACTCCGAGAGACCCTTCTAAAGGGCCCCGAGGGGCCCAAATCGTTCATTCTCAACGCACACATTCATCAACAACGTCCAAAACGGCCCAACTGCTCCTTTAAGATCGCCCCAGCACTGCCACGTAGGCCCCCAATGAGGCATCAAAGTTGCCGACGACAGGCTGACGACCAGTGTGGGTCACTATTTCAGCGGAGCTGTCTGTAACCGAATCGCAGCACCCAGTGGATGCTAATGGGGATGAGGAGGAAGGAGGAAGAAGGAGGAGAAGCAGTTTCTTCAGAACCCTCTAGGCATTTCAAAGTCTCGGCGCACGGCTCGCATCGGAAAGAGGGAGGCGCAGGGTATGGGGCAGGCAGGGACGCCGGGGCTCGGTGAGGGCCTCAAAGCGCCGTGCGTATATATGCTGGCGTACGGGGGGCCCGGGGCCCGGGCCGGAACACCCTCCTGGATTTCCCCCACGACATGCTTGACCCCTTCCGGGGCCTCCCGCCTCCCGGAGGCCACCGAAAAGCGACCAGGGCCGAAGACGCCCGAATCTTGTTTCAAGACGGTTCGAGAGGCCCCGACGACGTCCAAGGCTCCAAGATGAGCCCCGAGAGGGCCTCATGAATTCAACGGTGCATTTTTGGCATATTCCCATTTCGGGCCTTAACAGCTCCAAAACGGCCCAAGTGGCCCCACAGATCGCCCCAAGACGGCCCAAGAGGCCTCCAAGAGAGCTGAAGGACGGCCCAAGAGAGCCCCAGGACGGTCCAAGAGGCGCCCAAAACGGCCCAATAGGGCCCCAAGAGGAACCCAAGAAGGGGAGTTCCAGGCCGCGGCACGCGCCCGAGAGGCCCCTAGGGGCCACAAAAGATATCCCAAGAGGCCCCAACATTGCACACTTGAGGCCATAAGGAACTTCAACGCTCACTCCACGAGGCGCCCGAGAAGCATGCCGCATGCCAAGGGATCCCGAATTGTAGGTATCCAAAAAGTCTCTGGCCCAAAACTCGGGTACACAAGCGGCTATATACAAGGCCGAAGGCTAAACATATATGTAGTACTATATATATATATGTGTGAATATATATATATATATATAATATATATATATATATATATATATATATACATAGGCAAGTAATTGGTTTGGCGACGGACCCATCCCTATGCAGCCATGCGCAGCGCAGGTCGCGGGCCTTTATTTATACATTGTGCGCCGCGGGGCAATGCGGGAAGATGGCTGGTGCGGAGCACGCGTGCACGGGTGTGCTGAATTCCTGATTTTTTTGTGAACGAGCTGCCACAAGAAGGGGCCGAGGCGAGGGCGCGAGGGCAGGGGCGCGGCCGCGCGCGAGGGAGAGCGCCGCCCCCCCCTCCCCTCAGCGAGGCCGTGCAGCTGGGCCGCGGGGCGGAGCAGAGGGCGCGGGCGGCGGAGAAGTTGGCGCAGGCAACGGGGCCTCGTCTGGGCGTCGTCGGCCAGCGCCGCCGCTGCCGTCGTCGCTGCCGCCAGCGCCGCCGTCAGCGCGGGCGCCGTCAGCGCGGGCGCCGTCGCCATCGTCGTCGCAGTCGTCGTTTCCGTGGGCGTCGGCGCCTGCACGGCCGTCGTCCCTGGCGCCCTCGCCGCGTCGTCGTCGTCGCCGCCGCTGTGCTTCGGTGGCAGGAGCCCCTGCTACAAGGGGCGAGGCCTTCGGGCGGTCTCGTCGGGTCGGGGTGCGAGCCTCCCGAGGCAGTAGCGACTACGACGACGACGACCACGACCACGACCACGACGACGACGCCGACGGCGGCGGCGACGACGACGACGATGATAATTATGATGAGGCTGATGATGCTGCTGCTGATGATGGTGATAATCATGATGACCATGATGATTTTTTGCTGATAGAGACTGACCGCAAGCGAACCAGCCTTCGTTTGAAAAACCTCTAGCCAGCGCAGGGGACGCATTCGACCCGATCCCACGCACCGTGGGATG